GCAAAGTATTGTCAAAAAGCAATGTTGACAACATTTTTTGTGATGCTTTTATTAGGATTCAGATAGATCTAGAAAACAAGATATGATGTCTGTCATTATTTGGTTTTCTCTTATATCTATTATACGTTATTACACGATTGATTACATGCATCTTGAATCTTTCTTCGGTGATGTGTGTGGGCAACTGCCTACTGTGATTAGACCACATTGGTGACGAGTAAGTGCTCATTTTTCTTTATCACATCGTTTTCTTTTCTTTTTTTTTCTGTCAATGTGTTCAGTAGAAACGAAGAGAAAAATAGGAGAAGAAAAAGAAAAAGAAATAACGTTAAGAATAGACGTTCAATCGTTTGTCGTCCATAGACATCTGTATTCTATCTATCTGTTGTGTTTGGTCGATACACATAACTACTGGTCTTCTTCTTTTTCTTTTCTTCATTCGTACACTCACCACACTACACAAATTCTCTGTTCTATATAGTCAAAGAAAAAAGAATAACAATAATACACTTCTTAAGATATACAAGCAATTGTAATGGATTTGTTTTTCTTATATTACTCTAAATTCACTAGTACGCAAAAGGGCTATTTATTTGCTTCTTCCTTATTCTCAGGTCTAAAATTACAAATCTTTGAAATATATTTATCTTTCATATCACGTCAATAGAGCTGAATTTCCACCTCTGCCCTTGTTTTCTTCATTTGTCAGCTACTCATTTGTTCCGTACAAAGAAAAACCCTGATTTCCTTTATTTTTCTCTCGTTTTGTTCTTCATTCTCAATTCTCATATAGCCATACTTCATAACTCTAATAATTAACAATGATAATAATAGTACAGTATGTTTATAGATTTTTTAGAGAAAGAAAATAATAAATTTCTCTTCTTTTTCCTTACAAGATATGCTTAACATTTAGAATACATTTTCTCTTCTCATTAAACAAAGCAAGACACAAAAGTAAATCAAAGTTATTCAATTTCAAACAAAACGCATTTGTTAGTGAAAACAGTATGGGAGCAACAACATCAATACCTAACTCAATCGATGTCAATCAAATCATTTCCAATACAGGTGAATGAAATAGAAAATGAAAAAAAAATTCATTCAGATAAATAATTTCTATTTTTTTGTTCTTGGTATTTAAGGTCTTTCAAAAAAACAAATCTGTGCATTATGGACTCGTTTTTACGAACTCGATCGTGATGCTCGTGGTGATTGTCAAGGATATAAAGGATATATAGATGTCGATGATTTGGCTCGTGTACCAAAATTCGATGAAAATCCAATTGCATCACGATTAATAAAAGTTATTTTTGATGATTTTGGCTCAAATGGTAAATTAACATTTTCTCAATTTGTTGATTTTATGAGTACATTTGCTCAACGTAAACGAAGTGGACATCATCAAGAACGTCATTCATCAACTCAAACAATAATAACAACAGCAACAAAAACGGATCTTGAATCAATTAAATATTCGCCAGATGATACAGAAAGAATACGAAAAATAAAATTTATATTTAGTGTAAGATATAATTCATGAAAACTATATATATATTTATTTTTATTTTTATTTTTAGATGTATGATATTGATCGTAATGGACGCTTATCAAAAGAAGATGTACAAGAAATTCTAAAAATGATGGTAAATTAAATTTTTATTTTCTCTTGTTTGTTTTCTTAAATGTAAATTTTAAATAATAGGTTGGAAAAATTAATGATGATGAAGCATCAATTATAGCTGAAAAAATTATTGGAGAATTTACTGAAGATCAACCGAATACAACAGTAACACTTGAAAATTTTGAAAAAACTCTTCATACACTTGATTTTAATGATAAAATGAGTTTAAAACTTTTAAAATAATCTAAACATATTTATTAATTCTAAATATAAAAATTAACAAATGTTACATTTCATCATAACTAAGATATTATTTATTTCATGATTATAACTTGATGATTATGATTACTCACAGAACTTCCGTTAGTATATTTTTCAAGATATTTCTAGAACACTTCATGGAGTTAAATTACACTATATTTATAACTTTGAGATATAATTAAGCTCTAAATTAAGAAAAAGAAGCATCATATGAAGCACTTCAAGTATCTTAGAGCATGATTTTAGATCATTCGCGTCCTTCGAATCATTTTATCTTTATGTTGAGAGTCAACATCTTTGAAAGTTCTTTTTCTTAACATTATTCATCATATTTTCATATCCATTGCCATAAAAGTCTGTTTTTTAAGTAAAACTTGCTTCTCTGATAAATCTTAATAGAATGCACAATTGAGAAGTTTTATTATAAGTAAAATATAAAACAAAAAGCTTAAGTAAATATACATATATAATGAGAATAGGTGAAATGAACAATTGCAAAAACAATAACTTTTAGTATTATATTAGGTTAATCTCATAGTCACTGTATAATAGACTTTAGATTGACTAGTTTTCATTAAGAAATCAAATATTTTAAGCAAAATAATGCATCAATAAGAAAAGAAAAAGTAACTTTTTTCCTATGAAGGATCGTTCCTTTGATAAAAAATTCTACTTTTTTAAATTTTTTATCACATAGAATAATGATGTTGTATTTCAAAAAGAGAAAAGTAAGATTTCCTTAGTATCATTCATGCTTCTCTACCAAAAATATTTAAAATGATATTATTAAGATTAATTTTATATATACGAATTAATTATTCGAAAGTTGCTGATAGAATATCATGAAAACTTTTTTTTATAATATATATATATAACTCAACTAAATATTCATAATTCATATGAGATACCTGATAATTATCATTATTCAAAAGAATACTTCGTTTGCATCATCTATAGTATATTTTATTTTCATGATTTTTCAAAACTAAAGAGATCTACTTAGTGATGCAAGAAAGATACAAGATAATGTCATTTATTCAACTGCATCAATCTTTTTCTTAGATACGATTGCTTTCCCTTACAATATTCCAAACAAAGATTTCTATTAGTTTCTGACGATAAACAGAACCTTCTTTGACATCCCTAAGACATTCTTCTTTAGTAATTTCTGACATTGTATTTTTTTATTTCAAACTTCTTACTTCCAATCAATCAATCGATTTTTCAATTTGATTGTTTTATAAAAATTAGCATAAATTTTGTACTCAAGTTTTTTTTATTACTTTTTTTAAATAAAATGTATGTATATAAGACGTAATGAAAAATATTAAGTTAATGGAATATTTTAACTAAAATAAAATTCTCCGTGAATACTGAAGTTAAACCGTAATACTTATTAGAAAAGAAAAAATAATTTTACTGAATTTCAAATTATTTAATCAAATGAAAAAAAAACTTTTTATTTTAGTAATTCTTAAAGAATTTGAATTAAACAATTGGATTGGTGTTTCCATGTAGTAACACCAATCAGATTATTTTATGTAGTTTTTTTTAAATATATATATTGTACGTCTGCATCATCGATTCACTTTGCATTGTAACGAATACAAAGCATATTTGTCTTCTCTCTACGCTGATGAAATTATATTATTTCACATGATTAAAATCATCAAATTCTATTAGAAAATTGTTCAATAACGAAAAAGCAAATTTTTCTAAAATGAAAGTCTTTATACAAGTGCATAGATATTTTAAACAAATGCATTTATCGTATAACCAATCAGAACATTTTTTTCATGACGCAAGCAAGTTGTTGTTTGTTATGTTATTTTCATCTCTAGAATTTTATGTGTTTCACAAAGGTGTACAAAATCTAGTTAATGGTTACAAAAATAAAACTAGTTTTTATTTCTTTGTCACTTTCATAAATCGAAAAAATAACGATTGCAATCATGTTATTTATATTATTCAAACAATAAACGATATATATCGTTGTTTTCTTAAAAATATTTGTAAGTATCAGCAATTTCTTTTCTTTTTTCTCAATCGTATTTGATTATCTAACTGAAGTAAAGATGGAATAACATCCATTTGTTCTGTCTACATAAGACTATAGAGAAAAAAGGTATAAATTAATAATGAATTTGAACTCTTTATGAAAATAAATTTATTTGTATATTTGAATTTCATTATTCTTCCATTTCATTGTTGTCATCGTTGTTATTTTTTTTTCTTGTATACTTTATCGTTTTTGTGTGTCTATATTCATCCGAATAACATCGAGCAAGTAAAAGCAAACGCTCGTAAGACGATAAGAAGAAAAGAGGAAACTGCATATTGGTTGCATTCACTTTATTTTCTCTCTCTTTTCATTCGATCGTTGAATGCAGAATTATTTGACAAAACTAAAGAGGAATCCTTTCTTTTTTTCTCTCTTCTCTATTATTTAGAAGAAGCAGCTGGGATAGAAAAAAAGCAGAAAATTTGTATTTTAATATGATAATTTAAACTAAATGTCGATGTTAAATTATTATTGTTTAATAATTTTTACCTGCTGCAATAAATATCTTGATGTTTTACTCTATACCGAGAACATAGTAGTATTAATATTATATTTTGCTATTGAGTTCCTTTTCTTTTCTTCTTCTCTATGCGTTGTCAAATCTTTTTCTTCCTACATCGTTCCTATCATCCAATCATCTTGCAATTTCATGTAGGTCAGGCATGTCTCAACACACATACGCATGATGCCCGAGATTGTCATTAGTGTATATATTGTAGACGATAGCTACCGCCGTTACTGGTGTGTCGAGCTCGAACGAAGAGAAAAGAAAAAAAAATACGAGAGTCGAAGCAAACCTTTTGATAGATCGGCGAAGGCACAAAAAAAAAAAGAAAGAAAGAAAAAGGAAAAAAAAGAAAAAACCTCTCTTTCTTCGCATATGTAGCCAAAAGACGTCGCTTGCACTCCTTGGGTAGGTTGTTGCTGCTTTTTCTTTCTTTATATATGTATTTGATAAATTTTCCTACTGATAAAAAAAAATGATTTATTCCAATGAAAATTTTAGTTTGATTGCTGTTTATGACAGTCCGTATATGCTCACATCGATTATCAATGCAGAGTGATGTCTTAAACGATCAACAACAATTATCGAATGATATTGATTGTTCATCTTCATTATCAACAACACTGATTTATTCCGGTTTAAAATTGGTTTGTGATATTAATTAAAAATTTTTGCTTTTTTAATCAATTTCATTGATTATTATTATTATTATTCGTTTTATTTAGCAGCCAAAACCACTTCTACCTACGATATCAATGTCGAGTATGGCAAGTCCAGTATCAATTGTTAAAAAATTATCTCTTCGTATGTATTTTTTTATTTATATGTAAAGATAAAAGATTTATATGGAGTCTTTTTTTTTCTAGCTGATACTCATCCAGATCATTTAAATAAAAGTCTTGCATCAGCTATAAGACATTCACCAACACCTACAACTCCATCATCAATTCGTTTAGTGACACCAACAACAGGTAAATTATCACCACCAACAACATTACAATTTCAATTTGTTGATAAATCATCATCATCAACTACAACAACAAATGGAGGATTTTCAACATCAAAAACTTATATATTTAATCCTCAACAAACAAATTCAGCAGGAACACCATCATCATCATCATCATCATTAGTTACATTAATTCCACCAGGCACAACATCACCAAAAATTCAAACATTAATATCATCAACAAATGATATATCAACCAATAATGATCATAATAATATAAAACAATCATCTTTTTTATCAAAAAATCGTCTAACACTTGTTCAACCAATAATAACAAATTCATCATCAACATCAACATCATCAACAAATTCTGTTACACCTAAATTAGTTATTCAACAAAATTCAACATCAAATATTTGGTCCCAACAAACTACAACAAAAATTCGTAAATAAAATTTTCTTTTCATTAAATAATTTTTTGTTTTTCTTTATTTATTTATAGTTTCAGCTAAAATGCTTTCACGTCCGGTTCATTTAATATCTTCCAATGAACATTCAAATTTATCATCACCAACATCGAATGATAATCCTATATTTACAACAAAAAATTTAGGTAATGTTTTTTTTTTGCAATATCATTCTTATTGTTATTTATTAATTATCTAAATTTTGTCTTTTAGATTCTGGACATCAAGCTGTTATTCATATGTCATTATTACAACCAACATCAAGTAGTGAATCAATAAATTCTGTACAACTGACAAATTTTTATTCAACACCATCATCAGTTCGAATATCAACAACAACACAACGTTCAATGGATCATAATAATAATCATTCAGTAACAACACCAATTATTCGTGAAATACAAACTGATGAAAAACTTCCTGATTCAACTATTATTAAGAATAGTAAAGAAATCAAAATTTCTTTTTTGTTTTCTATATTAAACTTTTACTCCTTTTTGCTAGTTCATCATAATAAAAATTCTATTAAAAATCGTACACGTCTTCCATTACAACCATCAACACAACAAATATCATCAATATTACCACCAACAAAAAAACATAAATTACCTGAAGAGTAAAAAATTCTTTTCCTCTTTTTTTTTAAATAAATTTTATTTAATATTTGATTCTTTTTTTTGTCTTTTTTGTAGTGAACAAGTTTCTCTATCAGAACCACCAAATAAAATTGCACATTATGAACAGTTTGATGCATCTTCGAATGGGAAAAAGATTCGTAAATGTCGTCATAAACCATTATCAAAAATTTCATTAGAAAATACAACACCAAATCCTGCTCCATCTCTACCTTTAGCATCATCCATTGGTGTTGATCCAAATGAAAGAATAATATCAAAAAAACGTTCATCAGCTGAAATAGCTACAGCAGCAATACTTTCAAGTAATTATATGCGAAAAAAACGAATACAAAGAAAGAATTCTGATGAAACTATATCCAATAATATAAATAATAATAATATTAAACATGAATCAATATCAATAAATGATTCATCAAATGAAATTATTAATGATGAATTACTTAAACGACTTGCACAAGGTAAATTAATAAAGAAGATAAATAAAAATATTTTTATCATTTAATTTGTTTTTATTTTTATTTTTAGATTTTGTTTATGTTAGTAAACAAACAGGCATTCGTTGGATTGGCACAAAAACTCGTTCAAAACCAATGAATACACTTTTATCACGTGTTTCATGGAAACCAAAAATAAATCATTATGAGAAATATTCTGATATTATCCGAATGAGTAAAAAGAAAAAAATTTTTTTTTTCTTTTTAAATATAAAATATAATGATCATCTTTATTTTCTTAGATCCTAAACGAACTGTACCTATTAAAAGTCTTGATACAATACGAAGAAAATTAACACAACCATGGTCATCATGGCGTATTGATCGATTGACAACATATCTAACTGATCTGGTAAAATAAATGAATATTTGTTATTTTAAAGACAATAGCTTGTGAGAATTTTATGAACATAATTGATTGACTATTTTGAGCTAAAATGAGCTATTTGGACAATCCATATGACATTAAAATATGAAATACGATTGATTTGTATATATTGTAAATCAAGAGACTGTGAAACATATATGCTTCATAATATGTACCAGTGAGTTTGAAATCAAATTGTCGATTGTTTTGTTTTTAGAATGAAAAGAAGCTGAAAATTCAGTAGAACGTGTCTTCCTTTGTCTTTGTAAACAAGATCAGATAGACAATATTAAAATCATCGACTTTCTATTAAACACAGCATCTTCGTATTAATATCTGTCATAAACAGAGCTAAAATTTTCTTTTTGTCACAATTCCCCTGAGACTAAAAAAAAAGATTGTAGAAAGTTTGAAGAAAAAAAAAAGCCGTACCATCTCCTTCCAAATTGGTAATTCTGATTTAAAAGGAACACCTAAAACATCTATTTTAAATTTTATCTTCTTTTATAATAATTCTACAGAAGACTTTAATTCCATGGCGATGTCTGCCATGATTTATGGGAGTCGAGTTAGATTTAACACTTTTTATTTTCATTTTAAAATTTTCTTGTTTATTATCAAAACAATTTAATATATCTTATTGAATACTTTTTTATTTTAGACAGAGGATGAACAAACGTCGCAAAATAATTTGTCTGATATATCTCTATTATTAGATGAACTTAATATAAATGATCAATCAACACGAAATACAATTGAAGATTTAATTGAAGTAATAAACAAAAAAATTTATTTATTTTATTTTGCAAATATTAATTTGTTTTCTTTTTGTCAAGGGTAACATTCAACGACATCGATATTTTTGCGAACAATTAACACAAATATCAACATTACTTGTTAATCTACTTGACCATGGAAATACTTTACGAGAAATATGTTCCACTTCAAAAATGTCAACAACAACACCAATATCAAATGTATCTTCAACAACAACAAGAAGAACTAAAGAACGATAGTATACGGTTTTTATATTGTATTCTGTATTTATAATAAGAAAATCTCATCGGGATGTGTTATGCTTATGCAATAAGCTTATTATCAATGCACCGGTGATAATTGTGGTTTAGAAAATCATAAGGATAGAAAAAATGTCTCCGTTTTTTTTCTTCTTCATTGTGTTTTGTAGGTCTGATAAAAATGAAACCGAAAGTGTTAACATCATTCCGTGCTTCTTCTCTTGATCTTCTCTTATGTTTTTATTTTCATCGAACAGTTTTTTTTCTTTCTTGTCTTTTATTTAACAGAAAACAACTAAATATGAATATTCTCTTTGTTTTGTTTTTTTTCCTTCTGTAAATATTTATTATATTTATTTTGACATGGAAAGTCAACATTTTTTTGTTGTTTCGTTTGATTTCTTTTTGTGTGATGACACGATTGAACTTCTAATATATATATATATGTATGAATATCTGTGTCTTTTCTCTATGCTGTGCTCTTTTTGTATGTCTTTCATACGGCGCACTATTAATTGTATGTGTGAAAGAAAGCAAAGAGAAAACAAACGCTATTGTGCGTGTTTGTATATATAATGAAAACAAGAAACAAATTCTATATTTTTCGATTGATGAAGATTATCTTAGTTATATATGGAATTTCGTTATGTTAATAGAATTACTTTTTGAAAAATTTAGAAATTGTTATGTTTTGTTTTTATCGAACTGTTATTAGAGATGAATGATTTAAACAAATTAGAAGATTAATTCAAAATGATTTCTAATTGACTTCAATTATAGTTTGTTTCTTTTTTTTTTCTAGTATTAAATCAAACAATAAATTTCAAAGAATATAGCTTGATGAATTGATAAACTTCTTTGGTTTTAGTTGGTAATCGAACGCAACAAATTTGAACTGTGAATTGGAACAGAATATGAAACACACCTTTAGTCTTTATAGTTTATGTTGAAATTCGTAAATTGAAAAGCATTCTAAAAGAATTTTATTCTATGCTTTTTCATATCATGTGGCTATTGATTAGCAACATTACGCGATACTTATTACAATTTATGTATAGAATAACCCAAAAGTCATCGGATAGTTTTCGATTACAACTAACTTTTGATAGAAATAAGAAAGAGAGCTGCAGTTTTCGCTGGTGTGAAGAGGACACTTGCGAACATTGAATCAGATACGAAACCAGGGATGTGGCAATGAAGGAGGAAGTGCGTATGCTCCATTTTTCTCGAAAATTTTCAGTTTTTTCCATCCAAAATTGTATTTTTTTTATATAAAAAAAGATCGTAAAATGAAGAAAGTTAGTTCAGCACCTCGTAATGTTAAAAAAAATTATCTGTGTATTTTTAGCTCATATAACATTTTGTTGCACTCTCCACTTTTTTCTCTTCGCCAGATCCTTGTAAGAAACGTAATATTCAGTTTTTTGGAAAGTTTGTGGAAAACCAAGATTAAACAAATTGGTGTATTCAGAATTTAAAGTGCTATAGGAACTTTGAAAACTTCGGTTTTCTAGGGATCTTGGTATTTCAAAACTATTTAAAATGCTTTTAAATATTATGTTGCTTATATGGTTCGCTGTTCTCAAGTCTTCTCTTTTCAATAGTGAAAACCCTAACTCTCTGTTCTCTTTCTTGTTTCCATCAAAAATTAATTGTAATCAAAAACTACCCAGTGACTTTTGGTTCATTTTGCATATTTTGCTTATGGCATCTATCAATGGAGTCATATATGGTTTCACTTTTTAACGGCTTTGTTTTCTGACAAATTAACACAGAATACGCAAATGCTCAGTTTGGTCTCTTTTAATCAGTTGCTGTTACTTTACATGTTTCTTTTTGTGGAAACAACTATTTAGAGTAGAAGAGTTCATATATATATACCGGGTGTTCCAAAAGTTTTGCAACATTTTGTATTTTGCATATATCTCGACTTGAGAAAATGATAAAATCTTGATGTTTTTCTTAAAAGATGCGCCATAAAAAGCTCTACAGAAACTGTATAAAGAAATCTCTGTTAACTGGTTCTAATGGTTTTCCGATGCTTAATACGAACAACCTACATGGTGGCGCTATGTCCCACCGTATTGAGCATTGGAAAAATGTTTGAAAGACCTTTTTTGTTTTGCAATAGGGATTTGTTCATACAGATTGTGTAGAGCTTTTAACAGCACATCTTTGAAAAAAAAATCAAGATGTTATCATTTTCTCAAGCCAAGATATATGCAAAACAAAGATGTCTTGCAAACATTTTTATTATGCTGAAAAAGAAGTGTAGTATTTAGG